TACTCTGTAAATCTGGGGTGTCCAACAGCTGTGCGACTATGCGACGCTTTTGCAGGACACCTTGGGTTTTGTTTGTTTATTCATTTTCTCCAAGTACTTGAATGACCCAGTTTGTAGGAAACCTCTGATCTCTGAAGTTAAAGGAGCACAACGAGTGCCCGATCATCCCCGTCCGACAAACACAAACCGAGCACTGGCGACACAAGGGGGTCCAGGGGGGGTCCCAGAGGGCTCACCCGGCCACTTCCTTCTTTTCCAGGCGGCCCTTTCTTCAAGACGTTCAAGTCGCGTTAATAAAGAGGAAAATGTGCACAGATTGGATCAGCGAGGGCTGCATGCGGCGGCATGAGGCCATAAGATCTCGGGTAAACACGAGAAGTACCCCTGGCGGAACGAAAGGCATAGGTGAGAGATAAGAACTGCGGGTATAAAGGCTCACGACTCCGAACAGAAGACACTCAGCACTGCAGACTAGACCAGCCATGGCCGGGAACGACCGCAGACTCGCCCTTGCAGTGGTGAGTACTAGGCGCAGTACGACACGAGTGTACGCAACGACATCAAAGAGCGGTCGTCTGGGTTAACCTAACTGGTGCTCAAAATACCGCTATTTTGTCCAGGCTCTGGTGAGCGCGCTGCTCGCCGTGGAGGCATTTGACCTGCAGAGATCCCTGCTGCCCCCTGAGCTGGCCAGCCTCAGCGCCGCACAGCTGCGGGCTCTCCAACCAGACCAGGATTGCACCAACGCAAACCCCGCAACTGCCACCGTAAGGAAGGAGACTACCTGTTCCGACTGCTCCACTGTCAAAGCATGCGTGTATGGTGGTGGCACGGTTGGATGGATCGCAGGAAAGACTACCGCCTGCTCGGGGAGGACACCCTGGTGCAACGTAAGTGTTGCTACTACGTAACCTGCAAGCCCGGCGACCGAATACATAATTGACACCGCCATCTCTTTCTTTCTCAGGACGGAGTCTGCTCTGCCACGCCCAGCACGACACTAAACTGCAACTCGGCACAAGCGGACGACACCTTCCAGTGCCCGTCAAACGGTTACTGGCCCAACCTAGCCTCCTGTAGCAAGTACTGGATGTGCACGACCGACGGGGCCTTTGCTGGTGACTGCTCCGCTTACACCAACGCCGTGTATGACCCGCGCACCACCCTGTGCGTGCCGAAGAGCCAGGTCACCTGCAGTACGATCAGCTGCAGGAATGCCCCCGCCTACCAGGTGATCCCGTCGGCACCCTGGCTGTACGCCGTGTGTACGAGCGATAACGTGGCCGACGCCGTGGTGCTGGCCTGCGCTAACCAAAACCAGCAGTACAACGGCACGAACTGCGTCAACGCCTGCAACCAGGCCGGCCGCTTCCCGCTGTGGGCTCCAGACAGCGCAGCCGGCGCAACTGCCACTGACACTGCATCGTACTTCGAGTGCGTGGCGAACGGAAACAAACTCACCGGACCCACTGTTGGCAAATGCCCTGGCAATGGTTCAACCTTCAACGCCGCCACATCGCAGTGCACTTTGGCGTAAGAGCAAACTGTGAATTTTCTGTTCATTTACCATCGTGATTCAATATACGACTACTCAACATTTATTTTGTGTTGTTTACTTCATAATATGCTTCACAAACTATTCTGTGCCCAAGGATTACAGGCACGCGAACTTTTCACTGAGAAACATCCAGTACCCACACATAACTTTTGAAGTCACACGGTGAAAAGAATGGCTACATTTATAAGAAAAAAGGGAAAACTTTGCCGAACTTTTTAGTTTGAAGAAAACGCCTCAGATCTTGAGGTAGTTTCCTCAAAATCCCAGGAGTTTTCCTTAAATTATGACAGTTCCTTACAGCTTTTCCTTTTCCCTCAAAAAATAGACATTACTTTTGCCATACAATAAAGAGCACCTGGGGGTAGTGAAATCTCTTAGACTGGTTTGCATGATCACTGAAATGTAAAACAAAGACGCAGAAATGAGACCTTATGTTTGCTAGGAAAGCAGTATTTCGTAGAAATAATAATGAAACCTTATCTTTTGGGACATACTAATGCAAACCTGATTCGAAATGCCAACAGGGCTGATTTGAAAACACCCGTGAGGGAGAGCCCAACGGTGAGCACCGACTCTACCCCCACGGACACCCCCACCAGTACAACGGCGCCTTCCACAACTCAACAGAACCCACTGCCAGACTGCAATAGGCCCTCTTCGTGCGTTAATTCGACCCACCTGAGACTGTGTTTTTTCACCGGAGGGAGGTGGTTCAAAGCCAGGGATGTCAAATGCCCTGCGAGCAAACCTCACTGCGAGGTAAGTTGGTGATTACCGACTTCTGCCAAACACGCGCTTTTGCTTGCCGCCTTGGCGCTATATGGTGCCATCAGCTAGAGCTAGATGTGAGACCACAGTGATGGATATATTCACATTAGGTCAACGTCAGGGATTATCCATAAAGTACCCCGCTGTTTTACGCCCCCAAAACATCCCCCTACCCCTACCCCCTGTTTACCGCCGTCCGATTTTGTAGACCCCCCCTCCCTTTCGGACGTCCATTTTCAACTAGGCCACGCCAAATTCTCAATATCAGTTTCTTTATGTGGTGATAAGGAATGAGTATTTGAGAGCGGAATTATAATGTTACAGGTCTACTGGTACA